CTGGAAGGAAAAACTTAAGAGAAAAATTGGACGTGTTTGGTACGTTTAGTCTGGAGAGAAGACGACTTGCAGGGAGACGTAATGCAGTCAACAAATGTCCAAAGGATGGTTATACAGAAGATGTGGCAGAATTGTTCAGAAACATAATGGAATGGTTGGATAGCAAGAATATCCTAAGGGTGAGTGCTGTTCACCAATGGATCGGGCTCCTTCAGGAGGCGATGGATTCTCCTTCACCGGAGGTGCTTAAACAAGGCTGGGTGGCCATCTGTCAGGGCAGAGGGGTGGACTAGATGATCTGCGAAGTCCTTCCAAGCCTGACATCCTATGATTGCAAACTGGAGCTGTGCGATTATGCAGAATACCTAGTTCATTCAAGAACGTAATCAGAGTCCAGTCTGAAGATGCAAATTCTGAAGAAGGAGGCAAGAGAAGCCGTTGGGAATAGCAGTAGAAAGGTCATCTGCCCAAGCTTCCTCACAATGGCGCGAGAGAGGGTACTTCTCTTTCAATTATAATAATTATAGATAAATTTGCATCCAGGCCTATGCATTAGAACATGCAAATGTCTGCAAATCTGCACCTATGGCTGTCCTTTTCTCTGTGATGTGCTCCAAACTGGAGACCAAGATGCTGAATGGGCACTTCAGAAAGAGCACTGAAACACTGCTAAAATGTCCCCTCCGTTTCCCTGTCTCTAAACAGACTGTATGTACAGATGCATACAGTCTCCAAAGACAAGCCTTGATTTGTAATGCATTTTTCAATGCAGAGCCTGTCTCACACACAATCTGCCATACACGTAGTCCTCGCTTAATGACCCTAATTGGGGCCAGCAACTCCGTTGTTAGGCGAGGCAGTCACTAAGCAAAACATCATGTGACAGCCCTGCATAGCGACGGCAGTTCTGGCAGTCCCGGTTGCAGTCATTAAGCAAATTTCCCACAATCATTAAGTGGGACATCATGTGACTGCAATTTGTGACCTCCTGTCGGCTTCCCTGTTGACTCTGCTCGTCAGAAGCTGGCTGGGAAGACTGCAAATGGCGATCACATGACTCTGCAATTCTGCGACCATCATAAATGTGCAACAGTTGCCAAGCACCCAAATCGCAATCATGTGACCGCGGGGATGCTGCAACTGTCATAAGTGCGAGGACCGGTCGTAAGTCACTTTTTAGCACTGTCGTAACTTTGAACAGTTGTTAAACAAATGTTCATTAAGCAAGGATTACCTGCATTGCAATTTAGCACCTGTTACTTCTTTTAAACATCTTCATTTTTTACAATTTCTTCTCCTCCTCCTCCTCCTCCTCCTCCTCCTCCTCCTCTGGATGCCTCAGAATCACGGTGCATCTGAGAATTTGGGACATACAGCCGCTGCATAAGCAGCCATGTTTCTGGGACTTGTTTTCTTCAATAGGTTCCATAGTCCTAAACTTGCATGTACAATCTTGGCATGAACCGAAAATTAAGCATGCATGAATTCTTGATTGCCTGAAGTGTGTGGTTCAGCACATAACCTCTGTGGCTTCTTAATGCAGCAGGATTTGGTCTTCCTGCTTTACCAGTGCCGACTGCAAAGGGTTAAACTCTTCCTGCCCAGGCTGCATTTTTGCCAACTTTAAACAAGAAATGGTGACTGGCACCTTTAAAAACTGGAACTGCTCTCGTCCTTTCTTCCTTCCCCTCTCTCCCCCTGCCCCCCCACCTCAAAAACCATTTGTGTATTATAAAGGCCATGAAATGCCTTGCAATCATGCATTGCCAATCTGAGGCCATTTCCACACGAGTGATTTATAGTATCTTATAGCCTCATGTAGCAATAGAAAGTCTGCCTTCATTCGTGATATATAGCTATGTCTATGGCTGCATGAGGCTTTAAGATGCTATCATTCACTAGTGTGGAAACAGCCAGAATTAATGAATATACAGGTAGTCCTCGCTTAAGAACCTTAATTGGGACTGGAATGTCGGTCACTAAGTGGTGCGGTCATTGGGCAAAACATCACATCATCGCTTAGCAATGAGAGTTTCAGTAGTCCTGGTTATGGTTGTTAGGCCAAGACTTCACGCCTCTCCTGCCCTGCCGTGCTTGCTTCCACTTCCATTCCCCCACCCATCTCCCCTCCACTGCTGCCCTTTTGGCCGCCCCACACTCCGTTCTGCACAACCGCCGCCTTGCGCTCTGCCACCCCTGCCGACCTGCATCGTCTTCTTCCTCCCACTGCTGATGAGGCGTGCCTGGCCTGCCCTTCTTCCCAAGGCTGTGTGCAGCCTTCCTGAGGGGCTCGGGAAGAAGGCCTCGCACGGCCAGCAGCTCCCCCACAAAGGCCAGGCCAGGCACGCCTCATCAGCAGCGGGAGGAAGAAGACGATGCAGGTCAGCTGGGGGCCGCAGGGGCAGTGGGGGCCCAAAGGGCAGAGATGGGGAGGGAGGGAGGCGGGTGGGGGGAATTGAAGTACCCCTGCATAAGCCCTCGTAAGTGCAGGCGGGCTGCCAAGCACCTGAATTCTGATCACGTGACTGCAGGGGTGCTGCAACTGCCATAACTTTGAGGACCAGGCCTAAGTACCATTTGTTCAGTGCTGTCAAAACTCTGAACGGTCACTGAACGAATGGTAGTTAAGTGAGGACTGCGTGTCCTTTCATTCTCTGGCAAGCATTTCTTGGCATGCAGATGGTGAAAACAAGCAAACAAGGCACCTGGCTCTGATCTCCAGAAGGAAAAAGCAGAAAAAGAAAGAGAATCACAGAGGCACACGACAGCGTGGCAGAACCGCTAAATCTGGGGGAGCTTGTGGTGAAGCAGTTCTCCCCCCGCCTCTTGGTTCTGGTGCTCCTGGACCCCTGCCTAGCTACGGCGCTTCCCTTCCCATGTGACCGACCCCCTTCAATGGGGGAGAGGCATTTCTTGGGCTCCTTCAGTAAATACGTTTTCTGGGACGAAGGCAGGCGCTCCACCCCTCGTCTGCTTGGCTGTGGCCTTCCCCAGAAGAATGGCGTGGAGGAGAAGGATGGGAGGTGGGATTCCACGCCCTGGCAGTCCGCAGGCACAGAAGCCCACCTGGCACTGGAGAGCCATCTTGGACCAAAGCGAATTTGAATTCCATTACATTTACATTTCATTCAAGTTAAATATGATCTCTCTTCTTTTACATTAAGCACTGCAATTTATGACAACTTTGGCAGGCTTTGGGAGGGTTTCGGGGCCATCTTGCAACTCAGCTTATCCGCCTTTAAAAAAGTTTAACCTTTGGGAAGGCACAGTCCTTGATCCTCCCAAGCCCAAACTGTGTTCTCACCCCAAATGCCCAAGAGCTAGCACGATTATCATTCCCAATAACTGCAGAGGCTTTCTGAACAAAGGACGAGGCGATTTGTAACTCTGACGCACCAATGCAGATCCTTCCTTGCACTTCGCTCAGAACGGTTTGGAAAAATTTCAGAAATTTTTCTGTGGCGTAGCCACAACTACAAGTCTCACCAAGAAAACGGAGCCACCGTGAAGGTGCATTCCAGGGCAGAAGAAAGACACTCTCCTGCCCCACTCTCCTGGAAAACAAGCAGAAGAAATGGCACACCCCTTCGAACAGTCCACGGTCCAGCAACCAAGATCTCAACCTTTTGTTGCTGGAAAAAGTCGAACGTGTCAGACGGCTTCATGCATTATGGTTGGGGGTGGGGAGAACTACATCACCATATTCATCAAATCTTGGCAGACTGTATCCCAAATGCCAAGGATAATGATATGTTCAGTTGCCAGCATCTAATTAATTTGGGGAGTGGGGGTGGAGAGATGATATTTCATAAAAACCTGTGCAATGGAAGCAATTAAACAATGAATTCCTTGATCCCAAATATTATCCTTCTGATCTCTCTGGACTGGAGGCTATTAAAAATAGATCATATGGATATAAAAATATACTCAGGAATCCACAAATCATCCTTTTTTGTTACGGTTTGATGATATCAAACCCAACCTTTTAAAGTCAGTGGAGAAAACAAAAAGCACAGCCCTCCCTTTCAATGCTGGTGCTCGAGTGTCTTTTTTGGGAGTTGGTGCTTTTTTTAGTTAAAGCATTAAATTAATGAAGAGCAAAGCGGTTTGAGCCAATTGGAGATTAATGCCTTCCTCTCCCTGGTAGACTTATTTAGGACAACAGACTGCCTTTGATCTTTTCAGTTTTAATTAGCCAATATATATTAAATTCTCTTGAATTTTCAACATATTTTCTGTGGTTCTCGTCACCACAACATTCAAGTGAAACAGACTAATTGAAACCAACCAGGGTACCCCTTTTGTGGCTCCTCATAGATATCCTTTGCAAACTAGTTCTTTAAAGCATCATGTACTATTCCCTGGCTACTCGGAAATTTCAAACTTTGCCCCCACGTCACTGAATTCCAAACTGCAAATTTGGAAGCACCGATAGCTGTCAGTGTCTGGCATACAACGGCTTGGGTACCCGAGAGCCGCCAAGCCAAACAAGAGGCACTAATTTTGCTCTAAAAGAGTCAGATTCCAAATGTGGATGGAAAAAAATCAAAACATTCTTTTCCCAAAATGTTGTATCTAAAATTTAAGTGGTGAAAGGAGAAATAACACAGTGGACTTTGGTGGACTTGACCTCCAGCCAAATTCTGCAGCCTAGCAAATCAACCCACCAAATTTAGTGGCAATGCAAACATCTGACATAAAATTTGACACCTTAAATGCCAACTCTACCAATAAATCAACTGAAGCCATTATTGATTAACAGTGTCCTGAAATCCATTAAATCTTCTAGCATTTCACTCCATGCCCCCAACTCTGGGCTTAAATTCAACTTTTGCTGCGACAGTTTACCCCCACCCGCTCAGAAAACCCCACCCTGTAGAGCAAGTTCACATACCAAACTCTACAGCTCAGTTTTGCAACTGCAGTCTGGTTCCTCCGTTTCAATAAATCGAATAAATAAAAAAACAAGCTTGCGTCCCAGAGCCACAACACCAAGTTACCTTTTCCAACAGCTGCCGTAGCTGCTTTGTTCTGGCATCCCGTGAGCACATTGTCTGTTGAGGCGCCACCACTGTGCATATGCATCGCCCTTCACTATCCTGGGCAGAACTGTACACCTGCCAGCTTTCCTCGGGGTTGGTAGGCAACACCTGGTTTGGCACACAAGAGAGGGAGCATAAGGCTGGTGAGGCAGATGCCAGTGTGCAAAGAACGAAAAGGCTCAGGAAACAGGGCAGAGATGAAAGAGGAGGAGAGGAGGAAGTGGCGGATTGCTTTCCAAAACAAATTGTTAGCAACTTTAACGAAGCAATGAAGTGCTCCACATAATCAATAATTAGTAATATTATCTATGGTGTTCAAAATTCTTTACATTCATCATCTCAGAAAAACCCTTCCTGCAAGGCAGGCCACGGCTAGCATACTGTGAATGGGGGCCCTGAGTGAATCTGCACGACAAACAAGGTTCTCACAGGGCTGTCCCAGTCTACAACTCGGATTCTTAGCTCCAGAGCGCACGAAGGCAGCCCCCATTTTCCCTCTACCCCAGAGTCTCCCCAGATGCGCTCCGTCCCCAGAGACCTTCATTCTGGGCTGAGCCTTCTGCCACCGGCCTCGCCCCGGCTCAGTGCAGGTGGTGGTGAAGGGCCAGTTAGGACGGGAACCCACGGACACAAGCAGTTCTCCCCTGAACAGAAGAGCCTGCCCGTGGCGATGAGCTTTTCCTGGCACACGTGGCACCGTCAGATTCCCAAGCGCTGCGTGGACAGCCCAGCACAGTGGCCACCCAGAAACCCTCCGGGTCCTGGCACTGCCAGCTGGAAACGCCCACTGCCGGACTGCTCTGGATCCTCTTCCAGCCTCTCCTGGCATGTTTGACTTCCCAGCCTCTGGGTATCCCCACATGAGAAAAACTCGGGAGGAATCGCGGGCTAAATCGTAGCAGCTAATGAGGCGCTCCGACTCCGAAAGCAAAAGGACTCCGACAAGGCTGGGGGGCATCCAAACTACCGGCCTTCTGCACTTGTGTCCCCTTTGAAGGCTTCACCCACTTTATGCTCTGATTCTCCCTCCTGCCTGCGTGGGAAACTCCGCTGGAGGAGGAAGCAGGCCTATTTCTCACCCTGTCCGTAAGACCCCACAGGGGCTCCGTGACACAGATTTTCTCTTTGCAGGGACCGGAGCCCAACGGCACCCAACATGTGAACTCATCCTGGCTTGTCTGGGAGAAGCTTTGACCGACTGGATTTTCCCACAACTGAAGCAAGGAAGGGGGCCCAGCCCTCTCCCTCCCCAGGCAAAGGCCTTGCTGGCTAAGCTGAAACAGCTCCTGGCTGACAGACGGGAAAAGTGAGTCAAAGCAGCTCTAAGGAAGAGCCCCATTGCAGCCGTGGAGGCAGGACACAGGGCTGCCCACCCCCTCCGCTTTCAAGATCCCTCTTAAGGGAATCTGGGCAACGCCAACCCTCCTTCCATCTGCAAATTGCTGCAGGACTATTTAAAATGGCAGTAAAACAGCTTGGAGGTTGCTCAGGTTTTCCAAGCACTTTGTGTTCCAAAGAATGGCTCCAGGGTCTATTTTTGATAACTACATAAATAATTAAGTGCTTTAAAAGCATCCTTATAGCTAGTTTGTTCCTGGGAAGAAGAGGAAGAGGAGGAGAGGCAGGACAGCAAGGCACAAATGAGGAGGCTTCCTTTAGTTGAGACGCTGAGGGGTTTCACGGATGGGTCTGCCGCTCCTCCCTAGAGCTCCCTGGAGGGCCTTTTTAGATTAGGGAGTTGGGTAGCCACGGAGGCTCCCCACGGATGGAGAATGGTGCCCCCAAAACAACCCCAGCAAGGCCTCCTTTGCTCCTTCAGTCAACAGAAGCTCAATGCTACCTAGGAAAATGCATTTTTGCAGGGGAAGGGAACTTCTAGAAACTGAAAGGCCAATTTCAGACCAGTATTCACTTTAGTCCTTTTAGGATTTTAGCTCGGAGATTTCCATTCACAGCTCTTGGTAAAATTCTCCCCAGGTCAAGCAGCATCCTCTCAAGGCCCCATTACGTGCAGACAAAATGAGTTGGCTTCCAAAACCTCCAAGCGAAGTGTTACAAACAGGAGAACAGCTTCAGGGAGAGGCCATCCCGGTGATGCGACGCCAAAGGAGAAAGACCAAAGAGCAACTAACTGTTGGAGGAGACTGTCCCAGAGAGAACAGGATGGGGTCCTACCTTGGTCCAATACACGTGTCAATCACAGCTGAATGCCGGGCATTCGATCAGAAACACACTGCCACAAGAGGAGCGGAGTGCCCTTGCTGGCCGTCCCAGACCTCTTGCTCCAGAGCTCCCTCTCGTCGCAGAACCTGATGCGCCTGTGTCCAAAGAGCACAGGCCTCCCTTCGGCTGCTAATGCCCTGCTCAGCGGCAGAGCTAAGGTGGGAATAAATCAACCCAACTGGTATATTTGCTTAATTGGGTCTCTGGCTCCTCACCAGACAACAGTAAATTCTGCCTCCTGAGCTGAACTTATTCAGCAACTCCGGCTGGATTTGGAGGTATTCCTCTGACTCGGGCATGGCGGCTATTTGCTAGTCACTTTCATTCAGCCCACCCTGCCTCGCAAGGCTGCTTGTAAGGATAAAGCTGGTTTGATGTGGTTTGCCTATGAGGTCGTCACCAGTGGTGTGGTTTACCTATTCTGAACACCCTGAACTGCCCGATCTAAAGCAGTACTGGAAATCAGCGTTGCCCATTCTGGGCCGAATCAAATGCCCTGCCCTGGCCAGAAGGCTGTAAATATTCAGAAACGCCACAGTTATCTTGATACAAGCCAGCTCAGATAGCCTCTCGTTCCTTCTGCCAGGCGGTCTTAGACAAACAAGCCTGGCGGGCCGCTGGTATGAGAGGAGAGCAGGACGGTAGCGGGCGATGGCGAGATGGTGGCAGAGCCATCTTCTCTGCCAAGGGAGACTTGTGTCTGGGTGGATCTAAGCAGAACGGAGGAAAGGAGGGAGTGGCAAGTCAAGGTAAGCCAAGCGATGGTTAGGGGCCCTGGCTGCCCTGAGCAAGTCTCCAGGATGAGGCCAACGAATCTTGAATGTCAGAGGGATGTCATCTCAGAGGAATCATGGAAGACTGGAATAATGCCAGAGAATGGAGAGTGCCAGATTTTGGTCTTATCTTCAAAACGGGAAGAAAGAGGGCCAGGGTAACTACAAACTGGCCAGCATGCAACCAGCATCAGGCAAAACTTTGGAAAAGATGATTAAATAATGGGTTTTTTCTGAGCACTCAGAAAAGAATGCACCGCCTGGCAGGAGCCAGCACAGATGTATTAGGAATAAATTATTCCATGCCAACCTGATCTCCTTTTTTGATAGGCTGACCTCAGGTGACCATGGGAGTGTGACAGATGCAGTAGACCTCAACTTCAGCAAAACATTTGACCAAGTGGCCCATGAGCTTCTGTCGGAGAAGCAGGCAAAACGTGGGCTGGTTGATGCAGTCATCAGATGGATGCAGAGCTGGTCGGGCAACAGCGAGGGTGTGTCCAGGGCTCGGCATCCCGCGAGAGGGAAGTGCGGAGTGGGGACCGCAGGGCTCTGTTACAGGGCCAGGGCTGTTTGATGCATGACTTAGGAGACTGGTTAGAAAACACGATCATCAGATTTACAAATGACATAAATACAACCCCGAGAGTTAGGGATCAATATTCAGAAGGAACCCACCCATTGGAATGTTGGACAAAAAACAGCATGATGAGTTTCAACAGGGACAAATGGCTGGGAAAATACAAAGGCCTGAGTGTGGGATGGGGGTCAGGGAGATAGCTGGAGGGGGGCCGACTCTCCGGAGTGCTCCAGTGGTGGGTTCCTGCTGGATAATCTCCAAGATCTCTTCCAACCCTCCCGTTCTATGATTCTGTGAAACCCTCAACTTGATGCTGCCATGAGATAACCAGGGAGGTTTTTAGGGACAGACACCACTGTCAGAGCACATGATACAAGCGTGCTTTTTCTTTTAAACATTCCCGTTAGCTCAGCCAATTATGAAAAACACCCACACGGTGTTTATGTGGAGGGTGGAGACTTTCCATCTGTGCCTCCAAATGTCCAACGGCACGTGAGCGGCCGCTTCCAAGAGCTTCTCCCCCCACGGAACTAATTCCTGGGAGGGGCAGACGACGAGGGCTGGGGCAAGACTGGGGCTCGCAGTTTGTGATACGGCAAATTGAGGTGAAATATCCCCTTTGCACAGGGCTGTTTACTATGCAGCGATCACCTGAGCACATCAGAACTCTTGCACCCCTTCAGCTGCTACTTCCTGTTACCACCACAGCTGTGGACATTAATCCAAACCTCTTGCTGTTGCAGCCAGTGCTGCTCTTGTTCCAATTAAAGGTGGGGTTCCCCAAAGTCTGGATTATTTCAGACAAACCAGGTCAGCAGGAGAGGAGTGGAGCAAGCTTCTGAGCAATGCAAATCCCTTCTTCATGTGGGAAGGAGCCAGTCAAAGGGGAGCTCGCCTGTTCCTGCCGTCCCACAGCTCAGCCAAATGAAATGCTTCCCCTCCTGTGCAGGGAAAGCCAACCTGCCGGCTCTCTGGGATGCTGCTGGGTGCCCGCTTGTCAATCCCACCCGTGCCCTTGCTGGCAGCTGCTGGACGCTCAGCTGGAGCAGGCCTGGGAAGGCAGGGGGTCCTTGCTCCCCCTTTCTCCAGGGAGCAACGTTCCACAGGGGAACCGGCACTCTTTCCAAGGGGGACCATTCACAGCAGCCCTCGAATCCACTTTGGATGTCAAGCTGAATTCAAGGGAAGCGAGAGCAGGACGGAGGAGGCAGTGGGGAGGCTGAAGAGTGACCCAACCACTTTAAGTCCCAGCAATTCCACGAGAGCCAGTTTGGCGTAGTGGTTAACGGCTAGAAACAGGGAGATGGTGACTTTTAGTCCCGCCTTAGGCACAAAGCCAGCTGGGGGACCCTGGCCAGTCACTCTCTCTCAGCCCTAGGAAGCAGGCAAGGGCAAGCCAGTTCTACGTGTTCCCACTCAGAAAGCAGTCGGTCGATGCTTTCCTTCCTGTGCTTTGGTCTCTGCAGCACTGTGACCTCAAGGGCTGTGCAATTTAAAAAATCCAAATAAACTGGAAAGCCATGGCCTTGAGCATGGCTCCCAGGCATATGGCTGGTTGGGCATCATCTGCGAAGGCAAGAGGAAGGCAGTGGAAGGGTTCAGCCACAAGAACACCCCTCCTGGCCTCACTCCCAGCAGGGGCTCACCCGCTGCGCCCCCCTCCCTCCCCTGCGGTCCCACAGGTTACAGAGCTCAGCACAAGGTGGCCAACGGACTCCAAACGCATGACCGAGGAGCAGCCTCTGTGGGTCCCGTCAGTGCTGAGGGGGGTCTGGGCTTCCGCCCTTTAGCCCCCTCCCCCCTTGTTCTCTGTCCACCCAGAACCTCTCTCTTTCCCATTGCCTAAAGCCACCAAACAGCTTGTTTGGCCAAACTCCCTTTCGTCGCTCTATTTGGAAGACGAAAAGTAAAGACAAAGTGCAGTCTGAATATAATGATTAAAAAGTATCCTTTTTCCTAAATCAGCAGGTAGTGAAGCACATCTGCATCTAAACCACATAACTTGTAGCTGGAAAAGGGAACAGACCTGTCTCCACCCAAACCAGCCCTTCCTTCTCTGAAATCCTCCAGAGGACCCTTGGAGGAATTAGATGGATAAAATCCGCTTAAGAAGCAATGAGGGACGCAGCACAGAAGTTTCTTTGGGTGGAGGGGACTTGACCTTAGCAGAAAGGTGGAAGAAAATGGGGGTGCCACGTCCCCCCTCCACACCTCTCGATTCACCTGGCATCTTCCGTAAGAGGTCCCTTAGTCTTCCAAACATTTTTGCGCCATGTCCCCCCTTCCTTTGTTTAACGCACTCCTAAAGATTTTGATGCAGGAACTTTGATTTCTCCTCCATTCAAAAC